TTAATTTAGTCAAATTATATACTTGAGTATTCATGGCCCCTATTTAAATAAAATATAACACTTTTACTGTATATTATTTTAGATTTATTTATTTTATTTATATACTAATACATATAAATAATAAATAGTAATCAAGTGCTCCAATCTGTTTGTTGTATCTTCTCCATTCATGCTCCAAGTTTAGTTTGAAGAATATTGTTCTCTTTCTCAACAGAGCCTTGACATTGAGGATATTTTGGTCTTCTATGAATAAATTTAATTGAAGACTAAAGTTTTATAGTTTCTTTTACAATAGCATTTACAAACCCTCTCCATTATCTGAATGTAAAACTGCAGAAGGTTTATATAATAAACAAAATCGTAAAAGAAAACTTGCAGCTTCTTGTGCAGATTTTGTCATCACAGGTTCAGTAGCAGAAAATCATGTGAAGTGATCACGAATATGAATTATATAATTAAATTCTCTATCTGGAACTGCTGTCATACTAATTATATCTACCTTAATTTAAAATTAAATAAAATAAAATTTTAATTGAAAAAAAATTTAACTATATAAAAAAAAATAATAATAAAAATTTAATTATATAAAAAAAATAAAAAAATTTAACTATATAAAAAAAAATAATAAAAAAAATTTAACTATATAAAAAAATAAATAAAAAAAATTTAACTATATAAATAAATAAAAAAAAATTTAATTAAATAAAAAAATATTTAATTATATAAGTTCTTATTTGAACATGTGCGAGGAATTTTTCGCAATTATAAGTCTTATTGCAGAAACTTGTTTGTTTGCATGTTATGTAATACACATATTACATTGTTTTACAATATTTTTAATAATAGTTTGAGGAATAAAGCAATACCTTTGACAAATCTATATTATAAAATATGTTATTTAATTTTTTTTTTTATTAATGAATATTTTATCTTCAACCATGTTTTCTCTTATCCACCATGTTTAGTATTCTGATGAGCTTGACAAATTACAACATAGAAGTCTTCAATAGGACAAATTTGTGTACCACAGTTGTGTTTTTCTACTTTAATATTTAACTCTTCAATATTTCCAACTTTGACTACTGTAAATGTATAAAACACCCAATATTTAAATTTAGGATTTTCATATGTACTTGAAGGATTTCATAGTAAAGTCAAGCAATGATTATATTTTGAACGATCCATTATACATCTTTCATTTTTTCAACTATTCATATAATTATCAACTATTTTATTAAATGTTTGAGGAGAAAGAAATAGATAAACAAGTGAATTATTTGAAGTCATGTTGTAATTGTTAACAAGTGAATTACTTGAAGTCATATTGAAATTGTTAAAATGGAAAAGTTTATTATTGTTAAAAATTTTTTATTTTTATAATTTTATAATCTTTTAGTAATTTATGCAATTTAAAAGTTTCTTTTTCGGTTTGCTTTCTGCTTCTTATTGGTCGCAAGTACATCATATGTTCTGATTAATATTGTTATCAGTGTAGTTAAATCTGACATATGTTATATTTCAATCGGTATAAATTTTAAAATGATGTATGTCAATTTAAGTCATGAATTAACATATAACATAAATACTACTATAGAATTCAGCATATATAAAGCATGTAATTGAATCAATGCACAGAGAATTATGTAAAAAGATGCATTACTTCATGTTAGGGATGGTGAATACTTCTATTAAGAAAAAAATGAAATAAAATGAAATTATCACAATCAATATAGCTAATCAAATCTAAGTTACAGTATTTCAAAATTTAAATTTGATTAGTTAAAAAAATTTAATTTGCACATGTTGAAATATAATGGAATTTATTTTTAAAGCATTCATAGTCCTTGTTGCAAGTAAAAATATGCATATGTATTAGGATTGTTATTGGACTGTTGGTCCATTTAATTCAGTTACATTCTAGCAATAAATCTATACAAATTACTATATAAAAAAAAAATTTGGTCCAATAACAATGCTGATGTGTATTACATTTTTTTAATACTTATGGATTTGCAAAAACACTGTTTTGTGATTCGTAAAACTTTTAACCAAATTTTAGAAACTATTAATAAAAGAAAAACTAGTAAAACTTAATGAGAAAGATACTGTTATGGATGGATTCGACTCTAGGATCTTGAGAAATTGTTGCATAATGACCCATGATCTACATTGTAAAAACCATCATATCATGATATCTGTAACCCAAAACAAATTAAGCTCTCTATTAAGTAACAGTGTTAATCCATTAAAAAAAAACCACCTGCCCGATTTAAAATCCAACTGTCAAGATAATATTATCTTGACAGGTAAAGTCTGTGGTCATGTTAATGCATCATCATATATTCAGTTGTGTGCCATTGTGGAAGTGTTATGGAAAATGTTAAAGTAATAATGGATGAATTGTAGGAAAAAGAAAAGAGTGTTAGTGAAAAAAGGAAAAATGATTTATGACAATAAGAAAAAGAATGTCAAAGTTATATCTCAAGTTCTCTCTTTTTCTTAAAAAATGTTCTATAAAATGATTAGAGTTTTATTCTCAAGTAGAGTATCTTCTACCCTTTTAATATAGAAAATACAGAACCATTTTGTAAAAAGCTGAATTATCTTTTAACTTGTAACCTACTCTATAAAATAAATGAAGTTCATAATCAATAAAGTGCTAGTTGTAAATTTAAATAAATAATTAAATTAAATAAAACCAATGTGTTTCTTTAAATTCTCTTGGTAACATTCTTAAAACTGCCCTAGACCAGTGCCAAATCGAATCTGTCTCACCTGCCTTGAGTGACATTATGTGACATTGACAAATTCAAAGCAAAAATTTGTTACATTCCTTTTTGTTCTTAAATGGCATTCTCGACCAATTGGCCTATATCAATTTTGGTAGTGACTGTAAAATCAATGACTCTAGACATTTCTAATTATTGAAGTAGAAACAAATCTGTGAAAGAGTTAACTAATTCCTCCATCTCCCCTCTCCTGATACGAACAATTTGACTACATTGGTTTTTTTTTTTTTGTGTATTGTTTGCATTGTGTCATTTAATTTTTTTTTTTGTTGTGTTGAGCTGATAGATCATGTTCACCTTTATAGTTGTTACTAAACATAAACTGAGTTTTTTTTGAAAATCTAGGACCAATATACCAAGTCCACTTAGTTTTGCTAAAGAATATATAATTGTACTACCTCTACTTTGTACTGTTCTATACTGGATCAATTTATTAAGAACCTGATAGAAAAAAAAAAGTGATTAGTATAACACTAAGACAGGATCATTATCCAAAAAGGAAAAAAAGTTGATACATATTCAATCAAATTTTAAAGTAAGAATTTATAAATGGCAAGACCTTATTATTATTTTTTTTATATATAAAAAAAAATAAATAATACTATTTAAAAGAAAAGAATATATATATATATAAAAAACAGTAAAAAAAAAAAAAACTTTTTTTTTATTATTAATATACTATAAAAAAAAATAGTATAATATAGTAATCGGAAATATATAATAATATATAAAAAAAAAACTTTTATTAACTACAAATAAGGTTCACATGTATAATTATTATGACATTTTGAAAAAGCTTAAACCTGATCTATAAATTAATTCTGAAAATCAGTATAAATAGATCTTGGAATAAATTTGATTTAACCTTTTCTAACTAGCAAATAATTGAACTATAAAATAATTCCAAGCAAGCTGAAAACAAATAATAAGAAGACCACAATACCATATTTGTGTAACCTTTATTCTAAACAAGTATAAAAAAAACCCCATAACATGGACTAGCAAAACATTGAAAATGATCTTTGTCTCAACCAAGATGATGATAGATGATTAATCTATAGCAATAGTAGTAGAACCTCTGTCGATCAGTATTCATTGTATATAGAAAAAACAATAACTATAATAATGAAAACCCTACTCAACAGTATAATCAAGACCCCCTCTATATGGTTTTAAGAAAAATAGCAAAAGCCTTCAAAGATGCTACTGCTAGAGTTGTCCTTGCCACAAGAACTTCTGAAAGAGAAACTAACTTAGTATAGTTTAAACTATTCTATAGAACTAGGAAAGAAGTCCTTCTTGAGTAGATTGAAATGTTTGATCATGCTGCTGATGTAAATAACTGAACTTCTGAAAGAAAAATTAAAATAGCCTCTGAGTATTTTTAAAATATCATTGCAAACTAGTATAATAGAATAAGAGCCACTCTGGAATTTTGTGATAATGACAATGATCTAGAAGCAAGCTTTGTACCCTACTTCACCTAGTATTTCACTACCCCAGAATGTCAACATACATAACAAGTTGATCTTAATGCCCTTACCCAACAAAAAAATAAAAGAATCGACTTATATGCCTATAAGTTTAAAAAACTTTTAAGATGAGTGGATCCTGAACATCAGTTGCCCTAAATGTATGTGGTATAAATATTTTTAGAAGGTTTAAGGTCCAAGACAGCCTTCTGGCTTAGTGTTGCAGAACCTTCAACATTGGAAGATACTATAATCAGTGTTCATAAAATTGAAGTTGAAGAGTATTACAGTAAAAAAAAATAGAGAGAAGGTTTAAGATAATAAAAAACTAAAAAATAATCTTAATAGTCTAACTTGCCAAATACAAACCATGTTAGAGAAGTTGACAGCTGCTCCTACCTTGTATATCAAAGTTGCACCTCCTAGATTCTGTCACCTAAACAATAATAATAATTATAATAATAATAATAATCACAATAGTTATGATCTAACTAGGTTAATTTGCTATAAATGTAGGGAGCCTGGTAATATCTCTTGTTATTGCAAATCTAAAAGGACCCCAAATCTGACCCAAAACGGACAGAATAGATGAGCCTGAACCAACCAACCCAACCCAAACAACTAAAACAATCAATCCATCTATATCTTACATAGACCTGGCAATGTTAATTTTTGTAAAATTGAATTGGATGAAGGTTATTAACCTGAAGTTGAGGAAGAGAAAGCTTTTGTAACACCCATGGCCCACTACAAACCATACCTACTAGAAGACCAGTAGGTCACCACTTTAAAAGGTTAAAGGATAAAATAGAAGAGCAATACAGATCTATCCTGTCTAGGCCAAAAGCTCCAGTTAAACCACCTGTAAATGTAGACCTATTAGTAGTACAACTTGTAATTGTGAACCTACAACCACCAGTACCAGAAGCCCCAGTAGCCCTTTCTACAAGACCTCGAAGAAAAAGAGGCCCATCTGTAATCAATCAATTAGCTCCATATGAAGAGACAGTAGATATTAGGAATGCAAGAGCTAATGTAATGTTGGAACAAATATTACAATATCCAGATCAAAGCCAAAAGCTTGCAAAAGCTCTACAAAGACTGTTGCCTCCTTTAGAGCCATCATCACTTTCTCTTGAGTCTATAAATGCTATACAAGACCAATGGAATAGAAGAACTACAGCTGCTTACTGTTATATAAAAATAAAGAACAATTTAGTAATTGCCATACTAGATTCTGGTGCTGCCATAAGCATTATGTTCAATAAAATAATAGAAAATTGTAGTTAAAACTTACAGAACCATCCACCACCACTGTAGTAACTGCGAATAGTGCCTATGTTAGGGCTTTAGGAAAAATTGTAAATGTGAAGCTAGTCTTAGGAAGAATTATAGTTTTCACCACCTTCCAGATAATTGAATTAAAGGATAAAACTCTTTTATTAGAGATGAACTGGTTTAAGTGAATACATGCCTGTTTGTATATTGATGAAAGTAAGCTAAATGTACACTATCAAGATCAAATTGCTGAGATATCAATGTTATATAATGGTAAGTACCTATCTGTGGAAGCTGAAGAAAATGAGGAAAATAGAATATTCAAAGAGTTTAAGTATAAAGATGAAATGTTGAATGAAGCTGAAGGATATTTAACTAGTGAAGTATCAGATAATGAACTCTTTGATAACCTGTAGAAGGACTACCATAGTTCTGCAATATATTTGTTATATATAGAAGAAATATTGTCTAATGAATCTGACCTTGAAGATGAGCCCTTAGAAGTAAGGTTGAAAAAAAGCATATGTATTACTCATCTAACCCCAGAACAAGTCTAGGAGGCTCAAACTTTCTTAAATGATAAAAAAAATATGTTTGTCCATGATATAAATGATCTGGATCAGACAATTCTGATAGTACACAAAATTGATACCAGTAGCTAACACTATTAAACAACATCCCTATCATGCTGCCCCTAGTATATATATTTTATAAATAAGGAGATTGAAAAACTTAAAGAAAAGGGATTAGTAAAAGAAAGCACAAGTCTGTAGGCATTCTCTGTGTTCATTATACCAAAAAAGTGAGAAAAATTGCACTTATGCATTAACTATTGGAAGCTCAATGTGGTTATGAAAAAGGATGTATTTATCCTGCCCTGTATTGACAAGCTATTAGAAGTTTTTGGGTCTGCAATTTGGTTTTTAACACTAGATCTAATGTCTGGCTATTGGCAGATTTCTGTTAGTAAAGAAAATAAAGAAAAAACCACATTCATAACAAATTTTGGTACCTTTAAGTTTGTGGTAATGCCATTTGGACTTATGAATGCCTCTACTACATTTCAGTGAATGATGAACCAAATGCTTGCAGAGTTTTTGGACCAATTTGTTGTCATATACCTTGACAACTTCATCATTTATTCAATATCATTCGAGGAGCATACTAACCACTTTAATACTGTTTTTAATAAGCTACGAAGTATAGGTTTAAAATTAAACCCAAATAAGTACTTATTTTTTAGGCTCTATTTGCAATTTTTAGGCCACATCATCAGTCAAGAAAGCATTTGTCCTAATGAAGGTAAAGTTGAAATAGTCTGGAATTTTTCTGTATAACAGTTCTTTTGTGAGCTGCAAGGTTTCCTGGAATTGGTGTTGTACTATCAAAATTCATATCTAAGTTTACTACAATTGCTTGCCTTTTCTATTTCTTGTTGTGCAAAAATGTCAAGTATGAATATAAGAAGGACCAGGATAATGCATTTAACCAACTGAAGTTATATTTAATTAATGCTTTGATTTTGTGTCATCCCAATTTTGAAATGACATTTATAATCTATGCTAATGCCTCTGGTTTTGGGTTAGGTGCTATGCTAGCATAAAAAGATGATAAAGGGAATGAGTACATTGTTGCATATGCCAGTCAAGAGATAACTAAGGCCAAAAGAAACTACATTACTACTGAACATGAGTGCCTTGCTATTCTTTGGGTAATCAAACATTTTCATCACTATGTTGGGTTGGACCTCTTTATAGTACTAACTAATTATGCTGCTCTGAAGTGGCTTCAAACTGCTGAATTAACTGGTTATTGTGCCCATTGGGTGTTGCATTTACACTATATAATTTTAGAATTATCCACCATCATGGTCATGTCCACTGCAATGCTGACACTTTGTCAAGATTATCTGTAACTTCAAATAAACTCTAAACAAAAAAAAAAGAAAAAAACAAGATAAAGTTAGTAAAATAAAAAAAAAAGAGAGAAAAGAAGCAAAACAGATAAACTCTAGTTTTACTAGCAATTCAGACCAGATTACCAATGTCCTGGCATTCAACAACAGAAAAAAAAAAAAATATATATATATATGTATATACCTATAATAATATACACATAAAATAATAGACAGCTAAAAAAAAACCATATATATTAAACTTCTTCTTTAAGCAGTGATGAATGTCATCCACTACCAACACTTGAAAAGGTACCTAGAAGACAAATACTTACCAACAACTTTTGATTAAGCTTAGTGATGAAGACTCTAAAAAAAAAGCAAAGATTTTGAATTGAAAAAAAGACTTCTATACAAAAGGATTGAAAGAAAAAAGGAAATCTATTAAGAATGCTGCAAAAGTATAAGATTAATTCAATTTTTGTTCTTGGTGCATACCCACCCCTTAGGAGAACATCTCAACAAGAACAGTATGTTTGTAAAGACTCACAATACTTATTTTTGGCCTCAGATGTATCTGGACATATGGAAGTATGTTCAAACATGCAACTCATGTTAAAGATGAACAAAACCATATGAACAAGGTCCCTTTTATCCTATACCCATTGCTACACTATTCTACAAGATAGGCATTGATTTTGTGGGCTCTCTGCTATGAACACTATGATTGAATCGCTACATTATCATAGCTACAGATTTTATGATCTGTTGGCCTGAAGCATACTCTGTACAAAAAGCTAATGCCCAAACAGTGACCGATTTTCTGTATAATAACATAGTGTGTCACTATGGATGTCCTACTTGAATTCTATCTGACCATGCCACCCACTTCCGAAATGAGATGATAAGGTGCCTCTTGGAGAAGATTTATATGAAACAACACTTCTTTACTCTGTACGACTCTAGTACTAACAGTTTTGTTGAACAGTTTAATAAGACTCTATGTGAAGCTCTAGAAAAGTTGGTCAATAATGTTCTTAACTAGGATCTACTTATTCTACCAATACTATTCACTTATTGCATAGCTCAAAACCTCACAATGAAAATAATGCTGTTCTTTCTTGTTTATCATGTAAAGCCAAGCAACTGATCCATGCTAGCCAAGCTAAGAACCTATTGAAAGGAACTATCTTGTATAGAGCCTTCGAATTGATAAATCAAGTCTCTCTTCTCAGAAATAAGGCTATTAAATAACCCACCAAAACCAAGCCAAGCAGAAAACTTATCATAATAATCAGTGTCAATTAGCCTGAATTTGAAATTAAAGACAAAGTTTTGTTGGAAGATGCCATTAAGAAGTATTCTCATAGTAAAAAGCTGACTATGAAATATAAAGACCTGTATTATATTCATAATAAGCTGCTGAATAATGCCTATAAATTAAGGACCTTAAATAGGAAAGCCATCATTACCTTCTTCAATATATGCATAATGAAGAAATATCATGAATAGGAGGAATAACCATTTAGTAATTAAAAAAAAAAAAAAGTTTTTATATATAAATACTTATTTTTTTCTTTTATTTTCTTGAATTGTTAATTTTGGTTATAAACAACAGCTATATGCATGAGTTGAGACATATGACAAGAGTTCAATTGACTCTTTGTCTTGGATGTGAACATGATTTTTTGTTGTTAATTGTTTTTTTTCTATAGTTATGTGACTTGCAATTGTTTTTTTAGTATAGTATTAGAGTAGAGTAATTTTTTTTTTTTTAAAAAAAAAAAAAAATTTTGAATCTGAATTAAATCCTAAAGAAGATCTACAAAGTGCCACCCTAGAAGGATGCTTTTCAAATCTGAAACTGTGTTGACTTCTTTTTTACAAGACATAAAAAATTAGGCCTAAAAGAATTGTTATAGGTAAATTTAATTCTAGAATCTTGAGAAAATGTTGCATAATGACCCATGATTTGCATTATGAAAACTATTGTACTATAATATTTGCGACCCAAGACAAATCAAGCTCTTTATTAAGTGATGGTGCTGATCTATTGAAGAAAAATCCACCCACCTGATTTGGAATTCAACTGTCAAGGTAATATTACCTTAACAGATAAAGTCTGTGACTATGTCAATGCATCATTATATGTTGGATTGTGTGTCATTGTGGGAGTGTTATGGAAAATGCTAAAGTAACAACAGATGAATTGCAAGAAAAAGGGAAGTGTGTTAGTAAAAAAGGGAAAAACAGTCTATGACAATAAGAAAAAGAGTGTCAAAGCCATGTCCCAAGTTTCTCCTTTTTTCCAAAAAATGTTCTATAAAATGGTTAGAGTTTTGTCATCAAGTAGAGTATCTCCTATCCTCTTAACATAGAACATACAAAACCATCTTGTAAAAAACTGAATTACTTTTTAACTTATAATCTGCCCTATAAAATAAATAAAATTTATAATTAATAAAGTGCTAGTTATTAAATTTAAATAAACAATTAAATTAAATAAAACCAATATGCTCCTTTAAACTCTTCTGATAATGTTCTTAAGGCTGCCCTAGACCAGTGCCAAATCAAATCTGCTTTATCTGCCTTGATGATGTTATGTGATGTTGACAAATTTGAAGTGACAATTTGTCACATTCCTTTTTGTTCTTTAGTGCTGTTCTCGACTAATTGGCCCATATCAATACAAATAATTTGGGATTGCAAGTTTGGTTTTTACAAAGTAAAAACCTTATATACAAACTTATAAAAAATCAACTAATTATAATAAACCACAACCTTTAATATTCAATAGCTCCAAGCATATCATATTAGTAAACATCTGGTAAAGGCATTCCTTGAAATGCAATCAAGATAATAATAATAATAACAATAACAAATACAAATTATATAACTTTTATTACTGTTATAGGTGTTTTCTATGTGAAAATATAAAAACTTTTAAATATATTACTAAAATATATATAAATATTTGAATGTATTGTAAAAACGGAATAAGGATAGCTTTGAAAGTATTTTGGCATGCTGAAAGTCATGCTGAAAGTCCTACTTAAAGTCATACTAAAAGTTGAAAGTCTTACTATAAGTCGAAAGTCTTACTGAAAGTCAAAAACCTTACTGAGCATAAAAGTTCTACTGAAAGTAGACTTGAAAAAGGCCAATTATACATATCTTGATACTGAATTTATTGTGCTTTGCAAAAATGTATAACTCTGTGATTTTTACAGTAATTATGTTAAAAAAGTTTTGTGATTCTTAATAAAAAATTCATATATAGAATTTATATAAATTGATTTATTGTACGGGTCTTATATAATAACTCATGTTTTTTTACTCATTTACAGCACATGCTTAAAAAAAATAACTAAAGCGGAACACTTTCATATTTTGTCAAATATGAAAATGTTTCAATTTAATTATTTTCATTAAATCGGTTGGTATTTACTTTTAATAATTGTAATTAGATGAAATTATAATTTTAGTAAATTTTCACAATTTAAAATTGTATATTAGATTAATTAGCAATGCATAATATGATCTTATTTATTCAGCAAATATATCTAATATATAAAAAAAAATCTTTATATGAAAGAAAAAATCCTGCAAATATGAATTATATTATTTATCAAATATAAGATTTAAATTTATAGTTAAGGGTTTGTCAGTAATTGGGATTTGAAGTATAATATTGTTGGTAACAGATTCAAGAGCATTTCTGAGTCAAATATAGTTTTGTGCAGTATTTGAATGATTTGCTAATTCATATAATTGATTTTCTTAAGGTTATACAATTGATCTTCTTGAGTGTTATATGATTGATCTTCTTAAGCATAATATGATTGATTTTTTTGAGCATTATATAATTGATTTTCTTGAATGCTATATGATCATTTTTTCTGAGTGTTGTATAATTGATTTTTCTAAGTATTATAAAATTTTTTTTGTTGCAAATGAGATTTAGAATTTGAAATCTTTGCTTTCTTGACTAGTGGTTTAAAAGGTGTGAAAATAGTTGATCTTGATTTTGACTGTTTTATAATTTTGTAAGTTTTGGGCAATTTATGTTGTGAACTATCATTAATAATACTATTATTAGATGTTGTGTTACTCCTATTTCAAATTCAGAACTAGTTGTAGTAGATATTACAGAAATTTCTAAAAATAATATTTAATAACAGATAAATAATAGTTTAGCAGTTTTGTTTAACAATAATAAATATGTAATATCATATTCTAATATTCTTAAATCTGAATTAGATATTGTTGTTTCTATAAATTTAGATATACATAGTTAAAAATATAACAATTTTATTATGTATAGTATATTTAATTTAAACTTTATCAGTATTCGAATTATCTTCTTCTAATTTATATATAATATAAAATTCTCCAGAATAATTATAAAATTCTTCTAGATCTTCCTCGATTTTTGCAAATAGTATAAGTGATGCTACAGAGTTTAACTGTTGATCATCTGTAGGTTTGCTATAAGACCTGATACCTTCATATGATCGATAACCTGAAAAGGTCATTAATTCATCTTCAGATGTATCAGATGCTTTTAGAAGCATAATAGCAGTTCATATTGCACTATGATTTATGATCTTATAATCAAGCAAGAATAATACCAGTATTAACAGTAATTTGGTGTAACATATTTTTAAGTTTGTTTGCACCAATACATGAGGTTTGTACCAAATTCTATTTTTAATATTTAATGTATATATATGTATATAAAATTGTATAAAAAAATTTAAAGTTAGAGATCAAATTTATATAACAAAATAAAATACTAGATGCTTTTCTAACACATTCTAAAAAAAGTGGAACAGAATCTTGACATTTGGCAGAATGTTTAGATAAGTATAAAATTATATTTTTTATTGATATAAATTGATTCTCATTATTGTTAGGAGGAATCAGAACAGTACATGTAGCAGTATGATCATATTGTCTATAATGAAAAACTCTACTCTGATTATTATTTTCCTTTCTAAATCATAGTTGTAACCCACCATCAGCTCGAGATTTAACATTATGATACTGCAAATTACTTGTGTTTCCTCTATAAAAGCTACACAATAATAATAACCAAAAAAAATTTGTCTTGTTACCCTTCATTATTAGTAACTAAAAGGTAATTATAATTCAAACAAGTAGTAATTTCATTAGAAGTTAAGGCATCACTTAAATTTGTATCACCATATTCATCTATTTGTAATAAACATATTTTTTTATAAAAGCATTTTAATGTTTTAGGAAAGTAATATTTATCCCATAAACATACTCCACTTCCAATCACACTATGTTCTTTTAAATAGAATGCCAAGGCTGTATAACAATTATAAACTGATTTTACTTTAAAAGGTGTTCTATCTTTTTGCTTTAACCATGCAATAAACAAACTAAGAAATTCATTAAATTTATTTTTATTGTCAATTTGGTCTAGGTTTTTTTGGATATTATTTTCTTTTATATAATAGGTTATATAACAAAGCTATTTTTTAGTATTTTTATTAGTGTTTGTAACTTTAAAAAGGTTAAATAATCATTGTACTTTTTCTTGTAAATTGTTTGACATTTTAACAAGAAAGAATATATTATCAATTTTAAATCACTAAAATTCTTTTTTTATTTACAAATTGATTGTTACTTTTAATTAATTTTTTTTAATTTTTATTAAAGTATTAAGTAATGCACAGATTGTTATATCAGACCCATACAATAATATAGTTATTGTATAGAATTGTATAAATAACTAAATTTGTACAGGTTAATTAGTGTCAAAATTTTACCAATCAATGTCTGGGCCTCTGTGGGGCCCAGACATTGACTAATCAAATTTTAATACTGGTTAACCTGTACAAATTTAGTTATTTTTTACAATCTAAACAATAACTATAACATATTAAATTATGCTTTCTATCATAGTTTCAATCAGTGATCATATGTAAAAAATATATTATCCCAAAGCTTTTATATATTTTAATATTGCTTATTTTTTGACAAATATATTTTCTTTCTTTTTACATAAATATTCCTTAATATTTGGTTATAATGGCTGATGTTTAAGAAACAAAGCTAAAATATCACAGAAGAATATGTTTTAGTTGTTGAAAATGCTTGTATTGTAGAATTGACTTACAACAAAACATATGTAATTGCAACTTATCTGATGTGCCAAATAAAGGTAATTGGACTGCAACTGTCAAAAATGCATTTATATGATTATTTAATCTGAATTGGATGAAAGAGCAAGTAAATTATGTTTATCAAAAAATAGCACTTTATAATTACTTACTAAGTACAAGATAATCTTTTAGTTTTTCCTTGTGCTCTTAGTGTAATAGTTTTTTATTAAGATTATTATCTAAGAAGTCTAAAACAATATTAAATTCAAATCCATCAAATTTCATAATTGCAAATAATAACTTTCAAGAAATTGAAATATATGATTTTACTACTACAATGAGTGAACCTTTTGAATTCGAAGAAATGTATAAACTGAAGTCAAATGAACAAAATTATTGTAAAAAGAAATATAATAATAAGAATTATGCTAGTGATAATTCTTTATCTGATAAAAATATTGAATATGAATATAATTATGAAATTGTTATCAAATTAAAAAATAGAACTTTGCTTTTAGCAAAGTGATATACTTCTAAAGTATTTGTACTAGATGAGTTGCTTTTTGAAATTTACACAAATATTGAAACTTTAATAAAAAAAAAAACCAATAGAACCAAGTAATTATTGAATTGCATTCAAATCTAAAAAAACCCAAGGGGTAATTACTTAATTAGAAGATGCTTAAGACTTTAGAAAATTTCAGACTGATTACTGGAAATATATTTCTAAAATATTAATATAACTTTTTTATAACATTTATTAATTCAAGCTTAAAACAAAAACTGAATATAAGTAAAAAAATATTTTTAATTATATTATATTTATATATATTTAATTTATATAATCTTTATATATTTAGAAACTTGAGTCTGATGATGATAATTTAGACATTGATATTATTATAAATTCTAAAAATAAAAATTACATTTCTAAAGTTTCAAATTTATCTTTAATAGTAATATTAATAACAAAAAATGTTCTAGAAATTCATAAAGAAAATCATTGTATAATTCATAATCAGACTTGTTTAAATAAAGAAGATGCTAAAGAAAATCATATTGAAATTATGTTTATGATACTTTCAATTTGGGCATCTGAAATTATAAGTAATTTTATAAAATTTATAGTAAATATAATATATATTTATTCATATATTAAATATTTAGAGCAAGGTGATGACATTACTAACAGAACCATCTACTTATCCTTTATTTATATATAAACATTCTTCAAAAGCAAAAAATCAAATATTATCATCATTGTAACAACCTAATTAAATTCAACAATCTAATTTTATATAACAACAAATGTTTTCAAAACAATATTATTTTTCACTTTTATTTTCTAATTCATTTTCACTATATTTTTCTTTACAAATTTATAAATTGCCTTTTAATACATCTATTCAATCAGCTTTTCAATCAACTAGTGAAACAATGTTATCTATAATGAAGAATTTCTTAAAACATATTGATGAATATGAAGGTACTAAAGATTATTATCAAAAATTTTTATTTAAATTTACACACAAAGAATTTCTGTATGATTATTATCCAAATTATTAGGTAAAAACTTTGAAAAATGTAATGTTGATACTATTGGTACATAACAAACTTTATATAAATATGTAGCAAAATATAATATAGCTTTTATACTATTTTATAATATATTATTAATTAAAAAAACATTTACTTATAGCCTGTCATATTAAAAAATTTACTAGATAGTAATAGGTCAATTTGTGAACATGTAACTAATAAAGAATAGTATGGATCTGGACAACTTTTTACAAAGTAGTAATACCTTTTTAAAAAACTTTTTATATGTAAAAAAGCTAGTTTTATTAGGTTTAGATTAGGTGAATAAGGAGAAAGAAATTTAATATATATATCAAATATATTTAAATAATTAATTAATCTATTATCATGATGAATTCTTGCATTGTCAAGTATTAAAACACTTTTTTTATATAGAAATGTATTTATTTAAGGTAGTTAAAATTAAAAACTTACTTTATTATTAATTTAAAAAAATATATACAATAATTATATATTATACCACTTGAGAAATTACAAATTCTTTGAATTTTGTTTTGTATAACTACCATCTATAATATTAACTACAATAATGCTATTTAAAGTAAATGCAGATAAAATTGAATAATGTTTATCATAAAGAAATACTACTTTTTTAATAGCTCTTGAATTTATTTCAGAATAACCATATTTATGAGAAATAGTTTATTCATCTTTAGATAATTTATCTAGAAGACTAATTAATTACTTTTGTATTGAGAACTTATATGTGTCATAAAGATACTGTAAAGTAGCTTATTATATTTTTTTGTTGTTTTATATAACTAAAACTAAAAAAATATATATTAGTATAATATTTATATAATTAATTTATATGTCTTATTAAAAAATAAATACTTTTTTTATATTATTCCACAGTAAGCCAAAGAACACCATACAGTAGAAATTAAGACATTTTTGTCACACCAAAGTTTTATTTGTAAACCAATTTCATCAAGATACAAGTTTATGTTTTCTTGAATAATATTTCATAGTACCTATTATATAATATAAAAAATTATAGTTATTAACATAAATATAACAATAATATAGAATAAAATCTTTTACACTTAGGTTTATATCACTTTGATTAAAAGTTTTATAATGTTTATGCATTTGTTGTTAAGGATTAACTATAGTTCCTCATTTTTTATATAACTATAGTACTTTTTTTTATTAAACCTTGACTAATATAAAGAAGATTTGCAATTTGTAATAATGAATAACCATTATAATATAGACAAATAATATACTATTTCAAGTCTTTACTATATATAGAAGGCATATTTATAAAATATGCATCAGTATCAAAGTAAATATTTTAAAGATTTAAAACATTGTAATATTTTATATTAATACATAATTTTAACTTTACAAATTAATTAGTAATTAATTTATTGAAACTATTTTTAAGGCATCTTTATATTGAAAATTAGTAAAATTCTCTTAGAATTAAAAAATCACCTGATTTTCTGTAATTTTACATAACATGGGCTGCCATTAATAGAAATAAGACAAATTAATATCTTAAAAATTAATACCTTAACTTTTACAGCTCATATCTCAATATATTTTGATTCTATCTTATTAATTTAATACTCAAAAGAAAGCTTACAATCTAAGCTTTCTCTTAAATATTAAATAATTAAGGTAGCCTCAAAATCTATCAAGATATGAGCTGTGAAAGTTAAAGTATTAATTTTTTTTAAAATATCAATTTGACTTATTTCTATTGACAGCAGCTCACATAATGATTTGCAGAGGTCACACATTTTTGCAAAACACAATAAAAGGTTATATGACTGCTGCACTTAAAATCAATTAATAAAATTTTGATTGGTCTTCATTGAAGTCTACTTTTAGTAAGACTTTTGACTTTAGGTAGGAATTTTGATTTCTAGTAAGGGTTTTGACTTTTGGTAAGACTTTCAACTTTCAGAATAACTTTTGAGTTTTGGTATAACTTTTGACTTTGGTAAAACTTTAGACTTTTAAACATTTCAGTAACCAAACTCTGTTCGAAAGTACTTTTAGTAGACTTTCAATTTTAGTAACTACCAAAAGTATCTACTTTCAGAGCCATCCTTAATCCAGTATGCAACATATAAAAAAATTATTTAACAATACTAGATCATTTTGCTTGTACATTTTATAACTATAAACCAACATTATTTTTATTATTTGTTATAATAAAATGATGTAGAATTATAATCATAATATATATATACTAGCAAAATAATCTGGTATTATAAAATAATTTTTTTATATTTTGCATACTAGGTGAAGAATTAGTCATGTAACATTAATGGTTCCTATTAACTAGAAGTAGATTGGTAACAAATTTTACAAAAATGTTAACTATATACATAGTAATGTGCCATGTATAGTACAGTATATGCAAAAAGTTTTTTAGAATATTCTAAAACAAATTATAAAAACATTTATATCTCAAATGTTTCCTTATAAAATGCCTTTTGTATTCTAAGTAAAATTATTTCTTGTGAAATTTTGTATGTAGATAGTTTATATATTATATATATTGCACATGCTATATGCATTATACATACTGTTAAAGATAGATTTTTTTTTTATAGTTTTATATTTGGAATAATAGGGGCAAGGAAAATGTGACAGATTATCACTCAAAAATACCAAACATTATGAAACATTGTACTACAGAAGAGGTAAAATGATTTGGCAAGGCTAAGACATAAGTGCAAGGTCTCAGTTTATTGCTAATGACAGTTTTTTTTTATTATTAATATGATTGTTAACTATTCTCCTTCTTTCTCTTCTCCTTCTAAAAAAAAGGCACTTATATACAAGAATGGTGCCTTACAAAAAGAGACAGCACAGGAGCCCAAGATCCAACATTTTTCTACTGAACTCAATGGTTTCAGATCTGTCATTATGATCAGAACCTTGAATGGCCTCATGTGGCACAAACAACTAGTCCAATCTGGCAGATCTATCCCAACAAATGGCTATAGTATCCGATTCTGCATCATTATGGCATTGTTTCAGATAGGCAGCTTAGCTTCCAAGTTTCTCGAGGTACAATCAATGCACAATCATTTGCTTGTTTTAGGGGTGTTCTTACTGTAAGGAGGCATGGGTCAGGGCAGCACTAGGTTAAAGCAACTCTGGTACCCATTTTGCCTTTAACAATACATACACTAAAAAAATCCAGATATCACATTAATGACATATCACTATATGTATCTGCATAACTTAGTTAATAAACATTAAAAAAATTTGATTAACATGTTTTGTATAATGAACAATCTATATTAATATTTATGATACTGTGAAGATTTATTTGTTTGCTTTCTATATTAGTGATTTCTATAATAGATGTGTTCATTATTTCAAAAGTGAATTAGTAAATTAGTGATTTGCAATGATGAGTAATTAATAATTTCAACAGTGAAATAATTATTTTAATAATGGATGTTGGTTATTTTAAAAGAGAATGAATTTTTTGAATATTAAGTAAAATCAGTTAGTGCCTTTAATATTAATGGGTTAATTTTAGAAGTAGGTAAATTAGTAGTTTAATCAACAAATATGTTAATGAGTTGTTTACAATTCCTGCAATAATAAAAATTTTAACAAGTAAATTCAAGATTTTGTAATATAAGTTCGTAACTTAATAGCAACTTTAACTGTGGGTGTTTGTTTTAGCAGTGCAGATTAGTGACTTTGACAGAAATGTTTAATAAGTAAAAAATATTGTAAAAGGTTAATTGGGCTAGTTCTGAAATGGGGCAAATATGACATTGAAAGTCAAGTATGCCACATAACATTCCTTAATGGTTAATAGAGGTGAATTTATGATTTAATACAAGGTCAAAGTGATCAAAAAGGAGTGTTACAAGATAATTATGAAGATTTTTAAAGAGTGTTACTGTATTAAATGATTCAAAGAGTTTTTTTAATGATTTTATTATTATTGCAAGGGCACTTGTCTATACTATTGGGCTATAGAACTATACTGAGCTTGGACCATATAGACTAGTTTTCAAAATTTTCAACTTTTTTAAAACAAATTGTCCATAAGAAGAGCATATACAAAATCACATCTCTTCTCCCTTTTTCCTTATTGAATTTCAACCTTTTTTGTTCTAATCTTTAATCTTTTTACAGACACAATCTTAGTTACTTTAACATTTTTCATGTTGGTCATAGAACCAATGACAATGTTTTAGTATTATTTGCCTTAGGGCCAGAACCCAACATAATTATTACAATCACACCTCTTCTAACATTACCTCACACCTAACCCAAATAGGATAAAGTGAAGTCAACATCTATTACTAGCTGTACTGGTGTAAACAGGTTGGTCCAGAATGACTTTCTTTAATTAGAGGGTGGTGTGGTCCCATATTGAGGCTTGTGTGTTATCATATAGATTTTTTAAGGCCAGATGTATATATTTCAAATAGATCATCATGGGTACTACCAATTGGGTAAGTAGGCCACTATGATGATTAATTTCAGGTTTTTTGGCATAATAGTTTTATCTCTGACAATATACAAGATATGACAATTATGATCCTGCTTATCAATCAGAAATTGGATTTTGGGTACTCATTTCACTCCATTTTTAGTATTGAAATAAAAAAAAATTTACTAAAATTAAATAAATATTTATCAAGAAATTTTGGATTAAAGTTTTAAAAAATCTTTAAATTTTTTTAAAAAATTGATTTTTAACCATTTCTTCAATGTATTTTAATTCAAAATTTTGAAGCAAATTGCAGTTTCTCCAAAAATCTTACACATATCCATTGCTACCTGATGACAATGTTGATATTTGGACTATATTATATCAAAACTTCATTTGAATATTTGAACATGAACATATAAAATCTATTTGTCCAAATTAACCCAGTTGCCAATACTGCTGTGTGAGTTAACTTTAATACTTTTATAGCATTTCATGAATGATTAATTTTGAGTTATTTTACATTGCTTATATGAATTTTAAAAATCTATTCAAAAAGTAAAATCATTTTTACTAGCTATTTCATTTTAAAAGCCAAAAAAATCCATAGTTATAACATCATACTATATATTAATATTGTCAAGTTCACTTCTAATAAAAGTTGATAAAATACTTAATCCCATTTGATCCAAATGTTTATACAAAAATTAAGTGTTCAAAAAATGATCTGGCCAAATTTTTAATAGCTTGGATTATAAAAATTTCTGTACATTTTATCTAGATTAAAATTTATATTGTAAAATAATATAAAGCCTTGTGTAACAGTATTTTGGTTAATATAAAATAATAAGATAGCTGCGCAGCATGTAGTTCTGTGTAAAACAAGTATGATTAGCATTAGTAAAGTTTATGCTGCATGTGAGTACTTAGATATATACAAGAATAAGTTATAGTAACTAGAAATAAACTCAGGGTTTTTTGTCTCTCATCAAGGAGGTATTCTAGCAATAATACAATAAAAAATAACTTATAAATATTCTGTTTCTGCTACTTTATGCAAACTTCCTGAACAATACAAAAATTAAGAGTATCACCGAAGTACAAATAAGTGTGAAAATGCAAGTGAAAATACTAATAAGAGCATAAATAATATGAAAATAGAGTGCAAATAAATGTGCCAATAAAAGTATAACCATGCAACATTAATCTAAATGCAAATTTTTTCATAACTATCATCCTGATAGGCCACTTACACTAAATTTGACTGTCATCTAACAGGCCAACTCTGAATCTACTGAGACAAAACAACTATCAATTTTCATGATTGTTGTCTAACAGGCCACTGAACTTGGGCTTGGCTGTTATCAAACAGGCCAATTACCTACTAAAAACAAATCTGAAAAACAAAGCTCACTAACAAGCTTACTAATAGCATTTATTAAAACATTGCCAAGGGTAAGCAAGAGTAGGACAAAAAAACCAAACAAAGTTGGGTTAGCAGAAAAAACAGAAAGTATCTTGTCTAGAAAAACCTTATCTTTTCTTTAAATATACTTTAATAACTACTAATTCAAACTAATCCAAACTAATCAAAAAAACTACGTAATTACATCATTACTCTAACAAACTCTAATAATGTAATTATATCATTACTGTCAATTAATTAATTCCATTTCATGTTTAATTTGAGACAAAATGCTGCTCTAATACTTATGTATCAGGCAGCTAATAAATAAGATAGCTATGTGATATTGTCACATGAAACTGTGAATGACATTTAGCATTAGTAAATATATAGATTGTGCACTATTGAACATGTGATGTATAGTAGTAAAGGACAAATAAATTTTTAGGATCTTATTAATTTTAACTTAAATATGAATGTTAGTCTTTATAGCAATGAGTTTGAAAAGAATTTTGCTTTTTTTAAATGTGTGCAGGTTTGCACAGCTACAAAAACCTACAACTTATTTAGCAAAGGTCCATGCACATTACAGTAGCTATAAAGCTTATAACAAGGTCTTTGCACTGTGAAGCCTAGCTAGCAAGGTTCTCATATTGTTACTGTTGTCTAATTGCTACAAATACTAAGTATTACACTACTACCACAGCCATGGGACTTAATTACCAAGGTTATTGCATTGCTTGAAGATTAATTACTACAAAAACAAAATTCTTGTACTATTACAGCAACTGTGAAACTTCATTGTTACAAAACCAGGTCCTTATACTGCTTCTGTCAAGTATTTAAACTTATTGCAGGTTACTGCACTGTGAATGGATGATAGAATAACCTTTCTGCAAGGCAAGTGATACAAAAAGTAAGATAGGCTTTTTTTTACTAAAAAATATTAACTTTAAATACACTGCATTATGTTTTATTCCTCTGTTCCACTGATCTGATTCATGCTTAAAGACAAATGAAAATACTTCTTTACTTTAACACTAATTTGTTAACATTCATATCTATTCACCACTTAGCAATCATAAATTTAACTAAGAAAAACCTGATTTAATAAGAACAACAAAGCAACCCATTACAGTTCATAAAAGGCCAATCTAAGAATATGATCCACAAAGTCATCTGATCTCACAATTCGATGACAAACTACTCATTATAAAAAAATCACTTTTTTTTGTCAAGAACATCTCATCAATGATAATAATATGGTTATAACTATTTAGTCATGGTTATAACTATTTAGTCATAGTTATTAACCATAATATAATAACTGATACTAGTGATGACGATCAGCGTTTTAAATGTAATTTTCACACTCTTATTTTTTCCCATACCAGCATGATGGCATGTGAATACGCCGTGTCAGTACGTATTATCTTAACTCTTACTAGATTTTGATAAATGACAACCATTACTTATACTAAAAAAGGATTTTTCAAAAATCTGCATAGCGAAAATTCCTAATAAGGTATATACATTTGGCATAAATTTTCACACAATCGTACGGTGTTACCTGTCGATACATAATATTAACTCCTACCCTAAATAGAAAAAACTAGTACGATGTAATTATAATATTTCCAAACTGGGAAAATTTCCAAACCAGGAAAAAATATAGGCTTCAAAAAAGTTGAACGGAACCATCAACAAGTTATTCGCTGTCAATGCACTGGGAGCTTTTTGATTTAGTGAAATTTTCAAAATTCAGTAGTAGATGTACAATGTATGCAAAGAGTAAAGCAGTTGATAAATCGGGAAGAAAAGGTTTTTGTGTATTATTGGTTTGTTTTTATTGTTTTTGTTTCTGTTTATTCCGTGTTAATTCGGGGCTTCTTGTGATCATCACTTTTATCTTATTATGAAATAGTTTCGTATTGGCCGGCCCGAGTAATTTTGTCGGCCGAGTCTCACTGTCAGAAGTTCGCCTGATTGGCTAATAAATTAATTTATATACAGTTTAGAGTACCTTTTTAAAGAAAAAACGAAAACTAACCATAATAAAGTAAAAAAAACCATATAGAAGATTTCATTAGAGCTGTAGGACTCCATAGTCAAAAATAAGATCCAATTCTCGTCCGTTTAAAAAAATTAGGTTAGTAATAAGTTGATTTTATCGGATTTTGAGAAGTTATTACTATACTAACTTTTTTAAACGGACGAGAATTAGATCTTATTTCTGACTATGGAGTCCTACAGCACTAATGAAACCTTCCATGTAATGTTTTTTTATTTCATGATTAGTTTTCGTTTTTTTTAAAAAGTACTCTAAATTGTATAATAAATGTAAAATTAAATTGAATTTATTAGCCAATCAGACAAACTTCTGCCTATGAGGCCGAGCCGGCCCAATCGTTTGGCATCAGTAGTCGTATGTATTAAGTAAGTTGTTAAATAACAGCCTGTTACAAATAAATTTGTCCAGATTATAGAATAGAAACATTGAAAACGATGAATTGAATTTTAATTTAATATGTTTAATTTTCAATACTACCCTATCTTATATAAGCTGTAATAAAATGTGTAACAAGCTAAACAAGATAAAATCCTATAAAAGCTGATGAGCAGATAATAGCCCTACATAATATAATAATAAATTTGAATAACTTAAATGAAAAAAATTTTAGAATTTCCAATTATTGTTCATATTTTTTGCCCAAATAATCACCAGTTTCACAACAATAATCGCCACTAATACATTTTGCACACAAATGCCTTTTATGTTTGTTGCTTTCCCCTTTATCTAAAGGTTTGTATAATTTTATAACGCTCTTATCACTCTTGCACCTTTTACAATTTTGCATACAATAATCATCAGAATTCAAATCGAGATCTTGTTGAATAAATTTTTGTAGTGATATCCAAGTATAAGCACTTTTCCAAGAATTTTTGCAATTCGTACATTCCCATTCACCAAATACCCGGTAATATTTATCCCATTGTAGATGCAAGATGACTTCATTAATAGGAATCTCATTTAGGTTTATTGGTTGTAAATATGAATACATACGGAAACTTGTGATAAAATGTTTTCGATTGCAATTATCACTCCTGCAAAATTCTACAAAGGAATTATACAGTTGTCCTGGAGCCATCTTTAAAAAATTTTCAAGAGATTCTTGACTGTAAGGTTTTAGACTTCCCCTACACTCAGAGCATTCCCAATAACCACACACTTTGTAATCATTGTACATGCATAAATTTTGAATTATGTAAAAAATTATTTGTTCTCGTTTATTTTTATAGCGACCTTGAATATATTCGAGTTCTCTATATATGAATGACGTTGTTTTTTTCGATTCTGTTAGGAGCACAGTTCCTGAAGCCAAGGAAGTCATTTTCTTGGATTGAATAGTTTTAGTGAACGGTTTATTGAAAGAGTTTGTATTTTCCTTTTTTTCAACGACTGTTGTTTTCAATGTATGAGGAAGAGCAGGAAATTCTTCATGCCTTATTGAAGTTGTCACCTTTTTTTGTTGAGGAAGCTTCTGTTGAGGAAGAGAAGGAAAATCTCCAGATTTCACGGAAGAGAATCGAGACGATTGAAAATGGTTTGATCCAGAAATCTTATTTTTTTCATGTTTGGCATTTAATATCGCATCTCCCAGCGTGTAATTTTGACGAGGATAATAAATTTCATCATCTTCATCATAATCATTCTCGTATTCATCATCATCATCATCCTCGTATTCATCACAATGTTCATTTTCATACTCATTTTCATATTCATCTACGTGCTTAAATTCCATCGATCGTGTAGAGTATATATTTTGATTCATGTAGTTCTGAACTTCAGGTAAAGATGCAGCCATTTCTTTCTCCCAGGAAGGTTTTGTATTTTGAGTGTTTTCTGTCAATACATTTTTTTTCGCATAATCAAGAGTGGGCTTTCTGTAAGTGTTAGCATCTAATCGTCGAGCTTGAGATGGGGAAACTTCTGTGACGTCTTCCTCTGCATCATAATTATACGAATTTGATTGACCCATTTTGAATTACTTATGATGCTTTTCGTTCTCAAAAAAAGCAAAAATGCGGAAGAAGGTCAGCACATCAATCAGACTAGTCATTAAGAATAATTAAATTCATTTACGTATTATTTATGATATGTAACTCCAAACATATCATATATGGGCACAATAACAAGATTAGCTCCAATTGTAAATAGTTATGAAAGTTAATTTACCTTTATACGGGATAAAGTTACCAATTTAATGATGTTACACGAAACTATTAATAAATTTTAACAGTTTTAAGAGAAAGGGATTAGAGATAGCTTGTTTTTGGTATTTACAAAACAAGGTTACTGTTGTTATGCTGTCACACAAATTATATGCTAACTGAAAAGTAAACCTTAACATATGTTAAATTCCTCGTCGAAGGTATGTTGTATGATATGGTTGTGTTTTTTTTTTTGGTGTTTTTATGCTAATTCTGTTTCCTTTTAAAGTAATCAAGAGTTTCTCTTCAATATATTCACCTGAAGTATATGCCTTATTTAATATGTTTCTTGTTAAATGTAAGAATTTGAGTTATAATTTATCAAAATTAATCAGTTTACTTGTTGAAGTCGTTGAAGTCGGAAATGGTTATCGATTTAAAAATATGAACACTATTAAAATTCACTTACATTCTTGTTGTGAACCTAACTTTATATCGAACTTAACAATAAAAAAATTGCCAAAAAATATTTCAAAAGTTTTATATTAATATAAAGCACGATTTCCGGCACTTATTGTGATGAGTCAATTTTAGATTTTAGTCATAAAAGTTGATTACATATGGGGGGTGCCAGTAGAAACCAAGCAAATTGTTTCTAAGTAAATTTTTTTTAAACTTTAAAGTAAAATATCTCAACAATTATTAAACCAAACTTGATAAATTTTTTTTTATTTTAATTTTATATAGTTATAGAATTAAAATAAATAAAAAAATTACCAAGTTTGATTTAATAGTTATTGAGATATTTTAATTTAAAATTTAAAAAAAACACTAAAAACAATTTGCTTGGTTTCTACTAGCACCCCCATATTATGATTCTATAGTCTCTTATATCAATGATTTTACTTATAGTATATGTTTAATATATTTTATGTACTAATATAATAAAATTTTCTTTATGGTAAATTATAGCTTTAAAGAAAAAAATAAACTATATTTTCATTTATTTACCGTAAACAGCTGACTACAAAGTATACTCGAAGAAGCAGTTCTTTTACGTTTGAAAAACTCCAGATAAAAAAACTTAGATGATTGGCAAAGTGAAATGAAAATACGAGTGCATCTCTAGCCATTTTAAATACCAGGATATATCAGTCAGCAGTTTACAGTAATTCCTATACAAAGTAATGAGTTTCAAACTATCTAAGCGGAGGAGAATGAATTACTATTTTTTGACTATGATTCTTGTATAATTCACACAAAATCGCATGAATGAATAATTAATGCGTTACACGAGTCCTTAATTATTGTGAGGTCAGACGAGAATATCTGTTTATAGTGTACAGATGCATAGCGATAGCGGGCTTTATTGTGATTGCCTGATTTTTGCAGATCATATAGTTAAAGCAACGATTTTCCGTCACAAAACATTTCATAATAAAAGTTTTATTAAGTAACGATTTTCCGTCACAAGATTGAATTCAGAAAGTTCACGCCTTACTTTATAAACTGTCAAAGTAATTCGGTAAACCATGAAGTAATTTAGTAATTTGTTTCTGAAAGAGTTATTTTCGCTAATTTGTTTTATTATATTTTATTTATAATCCCAAGACAGGTACTTCTGTATCTTTATTTTTTTATTATGTCTATTTTTTCTTAATCCATGTATGTATTTAATAAAGCTCTTGATTTATAGGATCTTGTTTGTGCTAGTCTTATTGTCTTAGATCTTAATGTTTTATTAAGGCCAATTTAGAAATATTTTGTTACAATTTAACTTCATATAAAAAATCTTAACGTTAAACGATTTTTGATTATCGATTAACCAATAATATTTTGCAAATCTTAATGCTATACCAGCACTGCAAAAAGTGTAATAAATTATTTATGCTAGTTTATTATTTTTAAAACTTAAGTAATTAAAAAATTTTCCGTCGAATAGTATAACTGTAGATTTATATATAATAATAGTCAGGCTTAGTATAACTGTAGATTTATATATAATAATAGTCAGGCTTAGAAAATTTCTTTTATTCTTGAAATAGAATATTTTGGTTTATGATCCTGAATAATAATTATCAGTAGATCTCAGTAAATTAATCTTCAAGTTTAATAAAGTTCTTAATAGATTTTGCTATTATACTTTTCTTTCGTCATACTTTAATCAGTATAACAGTTATTACAGTCATTATATGTTTAGGTAATGATTTTCCTTTAATCGATCATAGTTAAGGTTTTCACTTTATATAAAGCGTAGTTATTACAATGTAATTTTCTTGCCTTTTGGCACTCACAAAAGGGTCACTTATAGTTAATTCTAAAGACAGGCACTCTATCTTTTCTCCCTAATAAACTAACACAATAAAGTCGCTTATACAATGAACACTTTCTTTTGCTCTAAACATAGTAATACCATTCATGTTTACAAATTATAATGTTTTTTTTTAATATTAAATTATTTTACAGTTGTGTTAATGGCGATAAACTTACGATAATATGACGTGTATTAGTAGATTGGCGTAATACGAAATACTTTATGTACATTCATTACAATATCCTAATAGTATTAGTTTAAAAATTAAATGGGTTTTAGTCAAATCTGATGTTCCTATTCTAGGATCCAATTTCACTGATCAGTATCCTAGGTTTCTCTTTTCGCTGGTAAATGAGCAATGTTATCTGTGAATCATGAAATCTCTCTGATGTAATATATATGAGTATATAAACATTAGTAAATTCATTTATGTAATTAATTTCTAATATTTTGTTATTTACTATTTTATCAATAAAATTGCAATCAACTTTATAAGTGCACTCTTTATAAGAAGTCACTTTTCCCTCCGAAAGTACACATCATTTAATCTGTTCAATAACAAATTTTAATAATGTCATTTCTTCTCTATAAATGCATGTTTCTATAAATTTAATAGAGAGTCAAATGTATCTAATTATTTTATTTCATCTAGAAATTTATACAAAAGAATTCATTCTAAGTAATGTACATTAAATTGCGTTTTATCTATTGATGAGGTTGACTCTGTTGAATTATATTACTGATAATAATGCCTGACGAATAATGAACATTCATCATTGATGAATGATAAACATTCATCATTGATGAATGATAAACATTCATCATTGATGAATGATAAACATTCATCATTGATGAATGATAAACCAATTTCTTAGGGTATTTTCATGTTGACAGATGGCGAAATTATTTCATAAGGTAATTCCAAGTTGATGGATAATGAAATCTATGCCGATTCTCTTTAGAAATCATTGAAAAGGTATTGACTATAAAATAGCAATAAACTTAATATTAACAATAATGTATATTTTATTGAGACATAAATAAATAAATCAAAATTAAAAAAGGTCAAGACCCATCTACCAAAATTAGGTATGTGTGTACGTAACATTGGGGTGTGCTGTCATCTACGTAAATCAAATATATTTGTGTTATCATATAAAAAATTACTTATTGGAGATTTCCTTATATATACAATATCGATATATCTATATGCGAAATTTTTTATGCAATATACAGTAATAATATAAATTTATTTAATTATATTTATATATATATAATTTAATAACTAGCTTAACAAGTTATTTAAAAAATTTGTTACAATTTCTTCACCAAATTATATTGGTTGAATGTCTTGCAATGTAGTAGTTTTTGATGTTTTTTTTGTAATCATTTTTTCAATATCTAAAATCAAATTTTTGAGTTTAATCTGATTAAATTTAAATGAAGTTTGAATTCCTTTAAAGATTGGAACATATTGGAATGGGTTTTTATATCTAGCTTATTGAAAAGTCTTTCAACTTGTTGCTGGTAAATAACAATGAAATATATATGAGATTTGCCAAAACTTATAAAGTTTAAGAAATTTGTGTAATTTGAAATCCTTTACTGTACAGAAATTTTTAAAATTCTTGATAAAGTTCAATATCCTATAATAATAACTGGTGCAAGTCAAAATCACTTATATTTTTATTATTTATATCATTTTCTAAAGTATTTTTATTATTTATATCATTTTCTAAAGTATTTGTATAATTTGCTCCAATTCTTTAGATAGTTGAATCCAAGTTTTTTTAAAAATTGTAAATCAATAACTATTAGTAAATAATCAAGTATAATTTCCATCAAGTTAACAAATCAATAAAGATAAATACAATTATAAATTTATCTATTTCTTAAAATATTTATAAGTTTTAATAATCTCATATTTTAAACTATCAAACAATTGTTTAATTCATTATTTGATAATATATTTATTGTCTTCAACAAATTTTTAGAAAAAAACATTTCAAAGTTACTTTGATATTGTTAAAATATTCTTTTGATTAATAAACTTTTTCTGTTATATTATAAGTACATCTGTTAGAAAATAACTAAACCAAGTTACTATTTTGAATAATATATAGAATAAAGTCTTAATTATAAATTTTATTAAAGGCTTATAAAAATAATCTGTGAGATTAATCAAATATTTTATTTAAATATTCAATTTTAAATTGGTTATCTATAATTTAAAAAGTTGTCAATCTCTAAAATATGATTTTAATAGTTTTATAATAATTTTTTAATTATATAATTAACTATTGATTAAATTGCTTATAAACTTTATAATATCTAAAATACTGTTTTGCAATTTACAATTTGTAGTTTTAATAAAATTAGTGATATTAAATATTAATTAAAAATCAGATATTATCAAACTCTTTCTAATAATCATCTGGGGCAAACTTTCAAAATGCTAAACTACAAAAAAATAATATATTAACTTTATAAAAACTTTTCTAAAATATTGGGTAT